ATACCAATACAACATACTAGAATGTATAGGACACAATGAAAGCAGTTCTAGGAGGGAAATTCATAGCAGTGAATGCCCATGCTAGGAAACAGAGCAAGCTCAAATAAACAACCTAATGCTGAACCTCAAGCTCCTAGAAAAAGAAGAGTGAGACAAACCCAAAGCTTGTTCAAGGGAGGAAATTATAAAGATCAGAGCAGAAATCAATGCAATGGAGACTAAGAGAACAATACAAAAAATAAACAAATTGAAGAGTTGATTCTTCAAAAGAATAAATAAAAATGACAAACCCTTAGCTAACCTTATCAAAAAAGGAAATTGCAAATCCATGCAATTAGGAATGAAAAGAGTGAAATCACAACAGATCCAGCAGAAATCCAGAGGATCATCAATACCTACTTTGAGAAACTATAGTCCAATAAAATGGAAAACACAGAAGAAATGGTCAGATTCCTAGATAAATATGAATTGCCAAAGTTGAATGAAGAAGATACAAAAATTCTAAACACCCCAATATCAATCAGTGATGTTGAAAATGTAATTAAAAATTTACCAAAAAAGAAAAGCCCAGGTCCTGATGGCTTCATTGCTGAATTCTACAAGACATTTAGGGAAGAGCTAATGCCACTACTTCTCAAAACTCTTCAATGAAATTGAAAGGGAAGTGATACTCCCAAATTCATTCCTGGAAGCAAGCATCACCTTGATCACAAAAGTAAAGAAAGACCCAACCAAAAAAGAGAACTGATAGGGAAAAGTTTTAGATGACTTAATAGACTGAATATTAAGGTAGTTGTAGAAGCAAAATAAGTAATGTGTTCTTTTAAGATTTGCTTTTCCCATAACGCTCTTTGTTTAAGGTGAAGGCAATCTGACTCTTGAACCAGTAACTTCATTAACCTAACAAAGTTGCAATGCCAGGGTGAATTTACAATGTAGAGGTGCCTATCTTGTGTCTGTGACTTGTAAATAGGAACTGGAATTGTATTTACACATTAAAGACCACTAGGGATGCGATAATGGCTAAAAAGGACATAAAAAGGGAAACACTGAACAAAGGGGCACATGGATACTAACCAGAGAGGTTTCTGGCGGTCCCGCCTGCTCGCGAGTAGAAATTTTATTATTTTACCCGAATTCTGTGCCTCCATGTATTTCTTTTGGAGATTTCTGGAACAGAACCACAGGCCAATCTCCCTAATGAACATAAATGCAAATATCCTCAATATGATACTAGCAAACAGAATACAGAGGATCATCAAGAAGATCATACACCCTGATGAAGTTGATTCATTCCAGACATGCAGAAATGGTTCAACGTATGTAAATCAATAAATGTAATATACTATATTAACAGAGTCAAGAACAAAAATCATATGATCATCTCAATAGATACAGAAAAAGTGTTTGACAAAACCTAACACCCATTCATGATAAAAACCCTACAGAAAATTGGAATAGATGGTCTTTATCTCAACCTGATAAAAGCTGTCTATGAAAAACCAACAGGCAACATCATACTAAATGGTCAAACACTGAAATCTTTCACATTAAAATTAAGAATAAGACAAGGATGTACACTATCATCAATCCTGTTCAATATAGTTCTGGAAACATTAGCCACAGCAATTAGACACAAGAAAGAAAAGGAATAAAGATGGAAAAGGAAGAAGTTAAACTGTCATTATTTGGTGACAACATGATACTCTACATAGAAGACCAAAAAAACTCTGCTAAAAATCTTATAGACTTAATTGCCAGGTTCAGTAGAGTAGCTAGATACGAGATCAACACTCAAAAAACAATAGTCTTCTTGTACACAAATAACAGACTCACTGAGAGAGAAATTAGGGAAACAATTCCTTTCACAATAGCACCCAAAAAAATGAAATATCTAGGAATCTATCTAACAAAGAATGTAAAAGACCTCTACCTTGAAAACTACAGCACTCTGATAAAAGAGATTGAAGAGGATATAAGAAAATGGAAAGACATCC